GCTGTTTACTTGTTATTTTCTTGTCAGTGCTCCTGGTTGCCTTAGAGAGTGTAAAACAGCCTCCAGACAAAACACCAGGAGAATTAGACAGCATTTTTGGAGCAGTTAGGGATGAAATAGTGTTTTAAAAGATGTAAGCTTAGAGGACAATGTTGTTTTCTTGTTGCTAACTAGAAGAAGCCTTTTACCGGGAGCTATAGAATAAGAAAGCCATAAAGGAGAGAAGAGATTAAGATCACAAAAGTGAGTTGCAAGTTTGTAGGAAATAATGGCAGAGATGTTCAGTGAGAGGCTGAAGGTGAGTGGAGAACAGCCAGTGGTTTGAAGGGAGAGCTGGTAAAAACATGAGGGAGCAAAATGCTTTAGCAAAAGGACTCTGCCTAAATTGTAGAGGGGGAGGTAAGAAGAAGGAATACCTGGCAAGTGAGGATCTCAGTCCAGTGAGTGCCTCTAGAGCCAGGATTGAGAAAAGCCTTAACACTGTTTTCTGGTTCATCCCCTGAGACAGGGTGTTTTGGGAAGTTTTTTGAAACCCTGGCTGATGGCTTATGCAAGATGTAACCCTAAAGAAATGAAGTAGTTGGTGACATTTAGTTACCATGAGTTGTACCACTCTGGGGGAAGAGTTGACATCAGAAAATTCACTGCTAATTCTGTTTGTCTCTTGCATTGTCTGTATTGTTGGCTTTTCTCACTGCTTAGTTCATGCTTAACAGTTCCAGGTCTCTGCTCTGCTTCTTCCACACTGCGCCTTTGAGCATCTTCTTCTCCCAGTATGGAACAGGATTTTGTCTTCTGCCCAACACGGTTGCAGTGCGTCTGTGTGTGTGTGTGTATGGGGGTGTGAGCACATACACACACACGCGTGTTGACCCCACTCTCCTTTCATTTGGTGCTAAGACACAAAATTGGCAAAAGCTGAGGGGCCCCTGCCGAGACGAGGACCAGAACTGGCTCCTCTGCTCACTTTCCAAGTCCTGACCTGGATGAGAGGCTCAGAGGGACATTTCTTGAGTGTAGCCGTGTCCCCTGGCCTTCTCAAAGCCTCTGTGTGCCTGAGGACTCCAGTTGTCTTTCTGAATCCAGTTTAAAAGTGACTAGACAAATGATTTTATACACATTTATACACAGGATCTGGGTAGTGGCTCCATCAGTTGATTCCTGAGTAAATTTGTCCTCTATTCTTTTGTGTGTCCAGTATCAATTTCTTACGTTAGGAAGTATTTGACCAAAAAAGAAAATGTTTTGGAAGGAGATGTTCTGTTAGTGCATCCTTGCAACAGATCATGATTACTAGACCTTAGTGGCTGCAAGAGGAAGAGGGAGACTTGGCCCCAACCGGTTAAGGATTAAAAGCTTCACCTGCACTTGTTTTAAAGCTTTAGCAATGATATGAGGAGGCAGTTCAGGTTGTCAGGCCTTTCTGCAGTCTTTAACGTAGCTCAATCCAGTTGTGTTAAGAACACTCACTCATGGGAACAGTTTGAGAGAATTTCCCTGCTGGTCAAGGTGGGCAGTTTTGAAAAAGTTCAAGGAAAGTTTGGTTTGGTTTGTTTGGTTTTTTTTATATAAGCCCTCGTATTCCTTAACTGATGATACAAACCCCCCTCTTTTGATGTATGTTACTTTTCATTCTTCTCTTTTTTTTTCCTTCTCAACTAGATCATCCTGAGCTATGGACACCATAAATGGTACTGGATTTGGGTAGATAATAGCACAAACTGTCAGTGTGATCTCATTCTGCACCTGCATTAAAACTAAATGAAATGAGGTTAAATCACCAAGTATTTTATTTCTTTAGTGCTGTGCAAAAACTAAGGTAACTTTTTTCTACCCATCAGGATGCTGTATCCCTGCGTACTGTTCAGAGATTTTTCTCAGGAAAAATGCAGTTGAGGTGGCAGTCTTAAAGCAAAGCCCAACTCCCGCTTTGTCCCTTCAGCGAGGGTACCTTGACACATGTCCCTTCTCTTAATCCCCTGACAGCTTCCAAGAGACTGATGCAAATAACTGTGCCAGGCTTTGATTATGAGATATTGCACTGCCACTTATTCTCTTTGTCTCCTGCAGTTTACAGAGGCAGCTTCAGTGCATAATTTAATCCCTGTTCTGGGGACTGTAACAAATCCACTGAGATTTCTACCACCCGTCCTCCCTGGCATCAGAACAACATGTGCACAGCTGCTTTGATGTGAATTCCCCAACTAGAGCCTTAGAAGGACCTATAGCTTTGAAGCTGGCCTATAAATTGTGCTTTCAGGAATCAAGTTGTCAGCCTCCTCTTCTGGGAGAAAGGGAGAGTAAACTGTAAAGCAGTTGCATAAAGCTACAGGGCAACTTAGAGATTTTTTTGGTTTTCTTGGTGTCGAAGAATTCCTGTACGATGTTGAGAAAGAAATGGATCCTTTTTTACCTGGCTGAGAAGCATCCTCTTTTGTCACTGCAGCAGGACCTTGTGGGTGGTGGGGTTGTGATGGGACTCATCTTGAGGGGTTCCTTATTCCAGGGCAAATGGAAGGGGAACAAGCACACTGGTGCTTTCAGCCTTTTCAACTGTTTCCACTCTCCTGAAGCCAAATGCTGGTAACGCACCTGTGTTGACTTTTGTGTAGGTACATTTTAATTATGGTTTAGAAAGAAATCAAAACGTTTACCAGATGTCATGGCTGTTCTGTGACAGATCTAACTTTCAGCAGTTGTCTCCTAAGATGTGAACGGGCAGACTGCTGCCTTTCTGTTTAGATGGAAATAAGCTGGCCTTTGAGGAATTTCAGTGGCCAGATCTTGTTTGAAAAGACGAATGCAGTTTCCCTCTTTATGATTGTCTGCTGTCATCTCTGCGAGCTCCTTCCCTATGAATCTGACAGGCAAAGATCTGACTAGTGTCAGCCAAGACACCAGCCTTTATTTTTCCTGTGTTCTCTGTCTCCTGTGAGAGCTGAAACCATTCTGCTGCTATCTGGGCCACTACTGGATGCTGTTGTACTGAATGTGGCTAAAACTGACTCCTGAATTAAAACATTTTACTGCACAATCTACACTGAGCTACATTGGCCTTTCCCAGTATGTACGGAGGAGCTTCTTAGGCTGCTTTGTAGATGAACCTGTGAGTTCTTAACAATATGCTTGTGTTACACAGGAGGAGACGTGGTTGTGTTGAGCGCTTCCTGTTTTGAGCAGATGAGTCTTTGGTCAGCATCAGAAATGAGTTATGCCAAACCTCATCAGGTGTTCACAATATTACATCACCATGTTTGGGGAATAGTTGGGTTGGGTTGGTTTTTTTTGTGGTTTGTTGTTTTGGTTTGTTTTTTTTTTTTTTCTACTGGCAAGAGCTGTTACCAGAATAGTTTAATTTCATAGAATCATAGAATCATTCAGGTTGGAAGAGACCCTTGGGATCATCGAGTCCAACCATCTCCCCTACTCTACAAAGTCCTCCCCTACACCATGTCCCTCAGCACTGCATCTAAACGGCCCTTAAACACATCCAGGGATGGTGACTCCACCCCCTCCCTGGGCAGCCTGTTCCAATGCCCGACCACTCTTTCAGTGAAAAATTCCTTCCTAATGTTCAATCTAAACCTCCCCTGTTGGAGCTTGAAGCCGTTCCCTCTCGTTCTGTCACTAATTACCTGTGAGAAGAGACCAGCACCAACCTCTCTACAGTGTCCTTTCAAGTAGTTGTAGAGAGTGATGAGGTCTCCCCTCAGCCTCCTCTTCCTCACACTAAACAGCCCCAGCTCCTTCAGCCGCTCTTCATAGGATTTGTCTTCTAGGCCCTTCACTAGTTTCATTGCCCTCCTCTGCACTCGCTCCAGCACCTCGATATCTCTCTTGGATTGAGGTGCCCAAAACTGGACACAATACTCGAGGTGTGGTCTATTTATGTATGTTTGGAACTGATGGCCAAACCTGTTTTATAAGGCAGGCAGCTGTAATCAAGTAAGGGCAGGGCGGAGTGGCAGAGGCCTGCACAGGGCCTGCCAGGTCTCTTTCTCCTGAGCCTTTCCAGGTTGATTGCCTGGCGGAGAAAAGCCCTCAGGTGAGGTCTTACTCTGCCTTTCACTAGTGGGAAGGCAGCCGGGCTCTCTGCGGGCAGGGTGGGTCTGCAGCCATGGATTCCCCACCATCTGAAAGGGGGTCTGTTCTGCTGCACATGGAGAAAAGGCAGTGAGAGCAGCACCAGCTTCCATGCTGGGGCAGAGAAGGCAGAGAGGTCAGTGTATATGCAGCATTTTGCAGCCTGCACCTAAATTTTGTCATTACCAGTCTATTAGGAAAGGGTCTGGAGCACAAGTCTTATGAGGAGAGGCTGAGGGAGCTGGGGTTATTCAGCCTGGAGAAGAGGAGGCTGAGGGGAGACCTTATTGCTCTCTACAACTCCCTGAAAGGAGGGTGTAGAGAGGTGGGGGTCGGTCTCTTTTCTCAAGTCACAGGCGACAGGACGAGAGGAAATGGCCTCAAGTTGCGCCAGGGGAGGTTCAGGCTGGATATTAGGAAAAATTTTTTCCCTGAAAGGGTTCTCAGGCATTGGAATGGGCTGCCCAGGGAGGTGGTTGAGGCCCCATCCCTGGAGGTGTTCAAAAGACAGGTTGATGTAGTGCTGGGAGGGATGGTTTAGTGATGATGCTCCTTGTTTGTTGTGCGGGTGTCTGTTTTTGTCAGTCAGGTTGACGGTTGGACAAGATGATCTTGAAGGTCCCTTCCAACCTAGAAGATTCTGTGATCTTTTGGTGAAGGCCTATTTCTCTTCCTAGAGATAGAGCAGCTTTCCTAAGTCATGGTGACGTTTTCCTTCTTGACCATGTACAACCAACTTTAATTTTTGCCTATGTATTAGAAGCTTGCAGGATTGGGAAAATGAAAAAAAATCCATGAAAGCACATATAAATCACTGACCGTTCGTGGCTGCTGCAATGTTGTTCTTAAAACTGAATGGCTGAAAGAATTTGTATTGCATAGTATAGCAAAACAGATTAATCAAAATCTACACTCGGTTTTTATTTACAATATTACTTTTATTTTTTTCCATAATGTAACTTATTCCAAGTCCTCCCCCTGTAACTGCTGCTGCAATGTTTACCTCCAATAAACCTATGCAATGGTAGTACATACTGCTGCTTTCGTGTAAGCCAACTGCCTTGCAGATGTTGTCTGCACACCACAAATCTGTACACAGAAATGGAAGATTCTCCACAAGCATCTGGAATGTTTCTTGAAACACTATTGGGGCAGAATGAGGCTGTCAGAGAGGTGCAGGTCAGATGTTCTGTTCTCCCAGCAAGGAGAGACAGGTGATCTGTCTGATGTACTTAGAGGAAACCAAGTCTAAAAGGTTCTGGTATTTTAGTAATTACTTGAATACAGTAAATTATAAATTTGCAGAGGAATGGATGTGCTTAATCCTTGCTGGAAGGAGTGACTGGAACTCCTGACTCTTTAAGCATCCCAACTTTACGTGAGAGGTACGACCTTTTTGTGATAATTGACCTCCAAGTGACCTGTGAATGATGAGAAAAGGAAGGAGGGCGTGTGTACTTAACTCTGTATTCTATGTTTAAAAAAGCTAAATTATCTGTATATCCTTTTCATTATCAAAGTATATTTTCTCTTTCAAGGTAAACTGGATTCTTCGGGAGGACTTATTTTTAATAACAACTCAGAGCTATAACCAGGAGCCAGTAATTCAAAAGTCATTCTTTTCTGCTTATCCCCCTCATTATAAACCCAAAGAAGCAATTAAGAGCATTCTGTTGTATTACGTGCTCCTAGAACATACTCTCCTACCCAGCCACTGCAGGACTTCAGATGGATAGAGCAATTAATACTATCACCAAAGTGAGCAATTTCTCCTCTCAGCCCTGTTGACACTAGCATCTATAGACAAAATCATTGTTTAAAGCTCTAGTACATCACAGAATAGTGCTGATATTGGTATTGTACAACTAATGCAACATCCAGTAATTCACATGTCATCTTATAGTTAAAAACTCAAGACTGGGGTACTAACAAAAGAAACCACTAACATGAAGTTTCCTTATCTGGCATGGAACAAAGGGAAGGATAGTTTAGATAACATTGTAGAGATTGGGCAGGAACAAAAAGAATTTATTTCTCCATCCAGTATTTTATACACTTTACAAAACCCAGTAATATCACTGTGCCCATAAAAATGTTATCTATGGCAACTGAAAGCAAACACTAATTTTTGTCATCTAAGGGGGTTTTCTTAAAATCATAATACAAAGATTTGTGCTGTAGCAGTCCTCCACTTTGCACTGTAACAATAAGGCTTACTGTACTTTAAATACAAAGCTGTTACATCTGCAGTTATGAACCACTGGCTTTAACAAACATCATTTTATAGTTGCTTTTTGCTTCTTTTTTGGTTTCTGGAACCTCAGCTTCATCATGTTTCTCAGTAGCTTGTAGCTCCTCTGCAGACTCCTCTTGCTCTGACTCCGAGCCGCTGTCAGAGTCCTCTGAACTCTCTTCAGAGGAGTGTCCAGCTGCCTCTTCTTGTTCTTCACTTTCCTGAAACTAGAAGTTCAGATTATGAGAGAGATAAACCATTATTTCCTGGCAACTCCACTGCAGCTTTTAAAATTCCCAGTGAGAATATTTCACTTAATAGTTCCTTTCATTTTAGTACTAAAATGGGCTATGTTGCTAAACACAGGTCTTGAATATACAAATTACTAGACAGAAAGCAACTCCACCATACCAGCTGTAATATCCATCAGCCACATTCTTACTTCGTTACAGCAGAAATCCTAAAGACACCCCTAAATGCGTTTGAAAAGCTTCAGATCACATCAGTTTGTAATTCCTTACTTTGGTGTTCACAGTACATAATGACACTTGAATATTTGTCACAGAGTGAAACATAATGAAACTAACAGCTAGACCATCAAGAATTCATACTCATGACTAATCTTTGAAAATAAGTTTAGCACACCACAGGTGAGGAATGCTGAAGTAATCCAATGACACTGCTAACAAGAACAATCAAAATGGAATTTTCTTAGTGCTCCTAAAGAGCAAAGCCTCCATGGCTGTAATATTAAGAATTCCCAACACTGCACAGGTGGTTTTACTCACTCTGGAAACATCAGCTATGTTTTCATGCAGTAACTGCTGCTAACAGCACAAAGTTAATTACTGCACTTTTCAATTGGCAGATGGAGACACATTACTAATAACCTAATTGTGTTGGGTTTTGTCACGCTTCTCTTCTTGCTAATTCCTATGGAACTGTTTGCAAGTACAAGAGCAGTCAGGTGTGAGCTCACTGAAAGTACAGGGAACTTCCCCTGTGACTTACTTTTCAGGACTACAGAGGTATGTGCCTCACAGCAAACAAGAAGCTAAGATTAATTAGCTCTCAACAGCAATGCAAATGGCCATCCTGCCTTCTTATGCGTTCCTTGGCAACACCCTGATTTAATACATTTGTCACTTTCTGTCCTAAACAGCCTTGACTCCTACGGAGCATTAAGTATGTCTCATCGCTGTTCAGAACAGTGTCAAGCATCAGGCATTTCCAGGCATCTAAATGGCCACCAGAATACACAAACAGTGCCTGCAGGAAGTTTGTCCTTTAGTCCAAGCTGTGGAAGTTTACCCCTAGTTGGGGCCATTAGATTTTTAAATCATGTATCATCTTGTCTTAGCGAAGCAAAAGCCAAATTGTTATGGAAATGAAGAGCTTACTACCTCACTGAAACCAAGTCCGCAATGGCGCCGGTTTCGTCCGGACATGGTGCTGTCCATGCTCTGCTGGTACTGAGACTCCAGTTCTTCATTCATTTTCTTGTCTTCTTCCCCTGCATTGTCCAGTGTACTTTGGTTATGGTTCGTTCAAATTAACAGAGACATCAAATTACACGAAGTCAGGTTTTCAAAGTTTATCACTACATGCGTGAAAAAGTTAAATTTAGCCCTCTTAAACCACTAGATTGAGTATTACTGCATACAAACCGCCGGGTTTTTAAGAGATCACATCAATGTGCAGCAAAACTGCTTTGGTAAAAAGATGGGCTGGAAAGTTCCTAAGACCCAACGCATTCAGGCAATTGCACTATGTGCTGTAGATGTTCTACTAAACAAGGTAAATGTAACCCCTGGGACTTCTCTGTGCTTCCTGCCAGTCCTGCAACGTGTCACAGCAAGGAGAAAGTTTCTGACCTTCACTACAAAACATGCAATTATTACGATCAAACCATGATTAATATCTAGCAGCAGAAGTCAGGACAATACTACCACTCTTGTGTGGAGCTGTATCTGAAACCATTTCATGCATCCTGAATTATGATGAGTGGTTACTACAGCTCTACATTCTTCTATCTTTAGGAATTAGCAGAAAAACTAGTTTTCATGAGCTGCTTCTACATTCCCTTTACTTACTTGTTTGAATAAGTAAAGAATCATTTTTACTGAGGGGAAATATGGTCTAAAATAGTGAACAATCCTCTGTTCTTCTTAAAGGTTAACCCTCCCCCAATAGGCCTACAACTCTAGTTTTAAATTTGTACGTCTGTAAAATTAAAAGCTTGTATTGCAAACTAGTGTTTCTTCATTTGGAAGTTAGAGCTGTATGTTATTATAAAAGGACAGTAACTATATGTTGGACAAAGAAGTAATGGGTAAAGAAAATAGCTGTTCTATGTGGAAAAAAACCCCCAGCATCTAAACTTTTTGCTAATAACAAAGCAGTACTGAGTCTTTATGACTCCTGAGGGGAAACATCATCTCCTTTCTAGAAAATTCAGGTATAAGGAAGTGATTCTTAGTCGCTCTGCAAGCTAACAGCAGAACCTGGACCTAATCTTCAGGCTTCTTTTGGTGTTTTGGTCCATAGATCATTTTTCATCAGCTGAAATATTACTAGTAGAGCATATCAGGGAAGATTTCTGGAACTCTGACCATTGCTATTCTATGCAGCTTTAACAAAGCTTCTCTCTAACAGTCAAGCCCAGCTTGGTTTTGATGTACTTTGACTTACCACCTGAGCAAGCCTGATAAGAAGTTACCACGGTCATAAATTACATGACATCAAATTTTTGCTGACTGCCAAGATGACCTTGCAGATCTTTTCAGCTTCTACCTCAGTGCTTTAAGGCAGAGATCTTTCTATTCAATAGGTAATCAGGTCGGGGGAGAAATCAACCCTGTTCTTTTCCATGCACAATGATTCAGAGGTTTGGATATCCATGCCTGGCAGCAAGGAAGACTTATAATACCGCTAGGTACCAATAGCAATAAAACTTTACTTTCTTATTTTGATAGCAAAATAAGACAGGGGAACTACAGGCCCTGATTTCCAGGGCATTTGTACACAAGTTTAAGTGACCATCAAGTACTTTGCTGAACCTGGATTTCAGAATGCAAGTAAATGCAGTCAGGGAAACTGTCAGTAACCTAATAAGAGAAATTAGGAACTTGTACAACTCCACAGCCAGAGGCAGTCTACAGCTACAGCCAGGAAACCTGAAATCCCTTCCTGCAACATCTATGAAGCTCAAAGTACTGGGATGTTCCTAAGTAAGTACTCCATTTCCAACTTTGTATCAGCTGTTGGATAAACTGACCTGTCCTGAAGTGAGAGGTTGATCTGTGGTCTCCGATAACAAGGCGGCCAGTATGTTCTTTCTAAAAGAAAAGGCAGTTTGTTTTGGAGCTTTAGGGTGCACTGACAGCTCTGCCAACATGGAAAATGGAAAAGGTTTGCTGTCAAACCTTGACAACCAACTGTAAGACTGTAAGTTTTATTAGCTAACAACTGCTGCCTCTTGATGAACTTGTTTCATCTTTGTTTCACTGAATTTTCTGAGAAAGAAAACCCCAGAAGTAGATACTCTTTACTCTTCCCACCCCCCAAAACTGGTTCCATTTCATTCTGTTTCTTGCCACTCCAAAGATGAAGACAAGCCATGCTGGTATGTCAGCTGAACATGGAGGAACTGTGATCCCCTGATACGAAAGCTACATTACACAAGGCTGGACAAGTGTGAATTTACATTCTGACCATTTACCCTTTGGGTCTCCTTCTCTGGCACTAGGCAATAGCTCAGTCTGCATCTTACCATGATCCCACTTTCAGACTGGTCACAGTATCAGGTAAGACCTTCACAATGCTCATTAATATATTATCTCGGTAGTTGCTCATTAGCAAATGTATCCCTATAGGCAAGAACTGACATTACACAGCAAGCAGCATTAAGTATCCAAGCAGACATTAAGATTAGTGGTAGTGGGATGTTTTAATAGGGTACTGTATTCCTATCCACTAGGAAGTATTAACTTTCACCTCTTTAATACAATAAAATATTTTTGCTTACAAAAATATTGTATTCAAGGAGAATAAGCTAGTACAAGTGATATTATTTTTCTTGAAGTAGAATTGCAATACTAAAACAACATTTTGTACATGGAAAAAGCATGATTATATTTTATGAGTTTTGCAGCATTTTTTGCAAAAAGCATAGCAGAAATATTGTTTTAGAGCATTTTGTCTTGAAAAATACATCCTGGATTATTTCATTAGATTTACTATTTTGCTGTTTTCGTCTATCAGCTACCATTTTTTTGAATCGTTATTTTTTTTACCAATGAGAAAGCATTTTACAGGCTGAGTGCACAAGTTTGTTAGTTTATAACTGTCCACAAATAATTCTATTAGCTAGTCTGAAAGTATAAGGGCGTTTGGGTGGGGAAGAAGCTGCAGAGGAGCGACTTGACAATTTCAGACTGTTGTTTTGGGTTACACTGCTGCTGCCATAGCAGCCGCAGCTGTGAAACCAAAAAAAAACCCACCCCAAATCCTCCTTTAATGAGGGTCCCAAAGCGAAATTCCTTTTGAGTGTTGTCTTTCTGCTCAGAGAGCCCTGCGGCTGCAGCAAGGCCCCTTCTGAGGGGGTTACGGGCATCGCAAATGGCAAACACCCACGTAGCCGCGGGGGGGGGGAGATGGGGGCCCATCCTCCCGCCGGGGTACCCGTTTGCCCGCGAAGGGGTGGGGAGCGGGGCGGCCTCACCTTCCCAGCGCCCATCAGCCGCAGGAACTTCTGCTTCCGCTCCTCGTTGCCGAGGTCCGCCGCCTCCCAGCTGCTGGAGCCCTGCGGGACCACACGCTGACTGCGCCCGCCCGCCCCCACCGCCGCTGCGGGCCCAGCGGCCCTCCAGCGACCCCTCGCCTCCCCACACCCCCCGCCGCCGCCTCCCCCGGCGGCCGGGCCCCTCAGACGGCCGTTAGCGCCAGGAAAGGGGGCGGCCAGGAAGGCCGCGGCCTCCTCCGCGTCACGCAACGGGGCTCGGTCGCCGTACCAGGGCCCCGCCGCGGCCTCCCTCCCGGCCTCCTCCTCCCCCCATCCCGCCACACCGCCTCCCCGGGCCCCACCGCCCATTTACATCGGGGGAAGCCGCTCGCTTGAGGCCGTGGTGGCCCTGGGACTCCCTGGCCGAGCTCATGGCTGCGGCTGGGTGACCGGGCCCCTCTGCCGCCTTCCTGACGGAGCCGCTCCCTCGGCCCGCGGCGGGTCACGGCCTCCGGTCGGCCGCGGGGTGCGCCGGGACTAGTAGTTCTCCTCCGGCCCTGTGGCGGCGCTGGCCGGGCAGGCCGGGACTACAAGTCCCACAAGCCTCCGCGGGGGCGGGGGCTCATCTGCCCGAAGATTGGCAGATGCGCGTGCCAGCCCCCGGGCACCGCCTCCGGAGGGAGGCGGGCGCGCGGCGGGCCGCTGGGCGTGGAGGGTGGGGGTGTCGCAGCCGGTCACCGGGACTTGGCCTTCGGTGTGGCGTCCGGCGGGGCGCAGCTGCCGGTCAGGCGTGAAGTGCCGCTGTGGGAATGGGGGGATGTAAAGAGGGGGCTGCCGGTCCGGGGGCTGCGCCTCGGCCGTCGTGTGAGCGCGGCCGGGCGGCGGCTGAGGCGCAGCCTGAGGTAATCCCCGCTGAGGGAGGGAGAGCTCTGGCCGCCGGCGGGGGTGCGCCTCAGGCTGAGTGACGGGCGGCCTGGAGGCGGCAGCAGCGCCCCCCGCCCCTCCTCCTTCTCCCTCGCGCCTCAGGGAACCGCCAGGTTCCAGCCGCTTCCCTCATCTCCCGCTGGTCTCCCCGGCCCTCTTCGGTAACCGGCCGTGTCCCCTCAGCTGTAGCCCGACGCGCTCCCTTCAGACCCACCGGTGCTGCCGCCTGGTGCGGAGAATGGCGCTTTGTGGCCCGTGTGGGATCCGCTGTTGGGAGCGCCAAATATTCGCAGTTAACCCTTTCGGCTCTTCTGGCCGTTTGCCCTCACTGTCCCTCCCGCGTCCTGTTCCCTCCGCGTGTACCAAACAGAAATACACTTATTACCACCAAGTTGGTATTTTCTCACGTGTGTCTGTTCCAGAGTTAGCTTAATTTGAATGGGTTGCCATTGAGTGTTAATATTCTGGAGTTTCTGCTGACGTTTGTTGGATGGGAAGATGCACGGCCACATCTTTAGGTCTTTTCACCTTAAGAAGATCCTTTCTGTTTTAATTCCTCAGTTACACAGCGACTTTGTCCCCATGATAATGTTGCAGCAGTCCAGCTAATGCCAGGAGGTTATGGTGTGCGTGCTGAAATGTGCAAATGGTTTGTGTCAGTTCATACTGCAGCTTAAACCTGGCTAGTTTAGGGCTAAAGTTGGTTGCTTAAGGGTTTTTGAAATTACAATGAAGTAAACAAGATGAAAAGAAGTGTGAGCACACGTGTGTATAGTCTTACTGAAGCTTCCTTAAATGATTTAAAACAAAGTATTGCAATTTTCTTGTGTAGTTAAAGAGTTTAAGTTAGCATCTTGATTAGATTTTTTTTAAGTGGTTGTCAGTCCGTACATTTATGTTGTCCATGTGCATAAAGCAGTCACTTCAGTCGTGGACTTTTCATCCCCAGCAATACCCCTAAATTACATGTGCTTGTTTCCTCAATCTTCTCGTGTGCTTTGTGCATACAGGTGGTCGGAATATAGAATCATAGAATTGGTGTGCAGGTGGTCGGAATATAGAATCATAGAATTGTTTCAGTTGGAAGGGACCTTAAAGATCATCTAGTTCCAGCCCCTCTGCCATGGGCAGGGATGCCTTTCACTAGACCAGGTCACTCAAAGCCCTATCAAGCCTGGCCTTGAACAATTCCAGGGATGAGGCCTCAACAACTTCTCTGGGCAACCTGTTCCAGTGCCTCACCACCCTCATAGTAAAGCATTTCTTTACCCTCTTTCAATTTAAAACTGTTACCCGCCATCCTATCACTATATTACCTGATAAAGAGTCCCTCCCCATCTTTCCTGAAGGCCCCCTTTATGAAATGGAAGGATAGCACTAAGGTCTCTCTGGAGCCTTCTCTTCTCCAGGCTGAACAATCCCAACTCTCTTAGCTTCTCTTCATAGGAGAGGTGCTCCAGCCCTCTGATCATCTTTGTGGTCTTCCTCTGGACTCGCTTCAGCACGTCCATGTCCTTCTTATGTTGGGGGCTCCAGACCTGGACACAGTGCTCCAGGTGGGGTCTCACCAGAGCTGAAGACCACCAGATCTGTCAGACATGATTTGCCCTTAGTGAAGCCATGTTGGCCATCACCAATAACCTCCTTATTTTCCATGTGCCTTAGCAGAGTTTCCAGGAAAACCTGCTCTGTGATTTTGTCAGGCACAGAGGTGAAACTGACCCAACCTGTAGTTCCCCAAGTCTTCCTTTTTTTTCTTTTTAAACATGGGGGGTATGTCTCCCTTTTCCAGTCAGTGGGAACTTCATCAGACTGTCACAGTTTCTGAAATATGATGGATAGCGGCTTAGCAACTTCATCTGCCAGTTCTCTCAGGACCTGCAGATATATCTCTTCAAGTTCCATGGACTTAAGAACCTTCAGGTTCCCCTTGAACCTGATCTCCTACAGTGGGCGGTTCTGCATTCTCCCAGTCCCTGCGTTTGCCTTCTGTGACTTGGGTGGTGTGGCTACAGATATATCTCTTCAAGTTCCATGGACTTAAGAACCTTCAGGTTCCCCTTGAACCTGATCTCCTACAGTGGGCGGTTCTGCATTCTCCCAGTCCCTGCGTTTGCCTTCTGTGACTTGGGTGGTGTGGCTAAAGCACTTACTGGGAAAGACTGAGGCAAAAAAGTCAACAAGTACTTCAGCCTTCTCCATATCCTGGGTAAACAGGTCTCCCATTCCCTTTGGGAGAGGGCCCACATATCCCCTAGTCTTTCTTTTATCACTGATGTGTCTGTAGAAGCTTTTTTTGTTACCCTTGACATCCCTGGACAGTTTTAATTCAATCTGGGCTTTAGCATTCCTAACCTGATCCATGGCTGGGTGGACAATTTCTCCGTATTCCTTCCAGGCTGCCTTGCTTGCACTCTCTGTAGGCTTCCTTTGTGTTTGAGTTTGTCCAAGAGCTCCTTGTTCATCCACACAGACCTTCTGGCCTTTCTGCCTGACTTCCATTTTGTTGATATGTATCACTTTTGAGCTTTGAGGAGGCGATCCTTGAATATTCACCAGCTTTCTTGGGCCCCTCTTCCCTCCAGGGCTTTATCCAAGCAGATCCCTGAAGAGGCCAAAATCTGCTCTCCTGAAGTCCAGGGTAGTGAGCTTGCTGTGCTCCCTCCTTGCTGCCCTAAGGATCTCGAACTCTACCATCTCATGGTCCCTGCAGCCAAGGGTGCCCTTGAGCTTCATGTTCCTCACCATCCCTCTCCTTGGTGAGGACAGTGTCCAGCATAGTACCTCTCCTCGTTGGTTCCTCTATCACTTGGAGAAGGAAGTTATCATCAACAATTGGTTTAAATCTGAAATTTCTTTTAACTTTAGTGATCTAAACTGCATTTCTTTACATCTAGTTATCTTTAGTGGTTTGGTTGGCTTTTTTCTTCTAATCACAAGTTTTTATTCTCATTTTTATTGTTTTTGTCAATACCACTGTTAATCAATTTGGATTTGAGTAAGTCTATCCACCCACCGGTCTAGCTCTGTGTTCCCTCAAGGAAATTTTTGGATTTCAAAGGGGGAGGGATGGACAAGATAGGCCATGCCTGCTAGTACCAGCTTAAGTCATCTGCATGACAAGATGACCACACTCTGCCAGGAGTGATTAGGGGCAAACATGACACTGAAAACATAGCACATAGGTGCCATAACACAAAGATCTACACAAAGAGTTAAGATACTGATGGACAGCACATCTCATAAAGCAAGGGTGTTCAGTTCCTTGCAAGTAACTTCTCTTTATGCTGAAGCAGCTTGGTGTGGGTGATGGTGGTGGGTCTGATTCCATTAATTTGCTTTTAGCTGAGGTGATCTGACTGATAGTCAGAGCTGGGTCCAGCTTTCAAACAGTTTGGGGAAAATCCTGCAGTGGCTGCCTTCAGTTTTCAGAATGTAGTTTTTCTATGCTCTCCCTGCAGTGAAGGAAAAGTTCCTATAAGGCTTCTGAAGTCAGGCTTCTGCTCTGAACTGCCTCCAAGAGGAATCTTTGTGCTGGGGGGATTAACTGCTCCTAGCTAAGTTTGTCTTTATGAATTTCCTCCTTACAGAGCTAAAAATGTATCATGATAATGTTTTTTGTGAGTATGGAAATTAAGCTAGTTGGTCACTTTGATGATTTTTAACATTTTCCCTGAACTTTGTTATTCAGATGTCACCCCTTGTTCTTTTGTTGGACTGAAATACAATGAAAGAGGAGTTGTTAAGAAAATATTCTGAAAGACGGAGCACAAAAGTTCAGCAGATTTAATAATGTAGAGATGTGCTGCTATAGCCTTTCCACTCCTGGGTAGGTAGATTCAGAGTTTAAGATGTATGCAGAATATTATTTTTTTAAATCTTTATTTATACAGAAGAACACTAGGATAGTGATGTTTAAATTCATGTTCCCATATATTGCTCTGCTTGAGTGTTCAAAGTCAAATAGAAAGGCACAGCTGTTACACCCGCTTTCTACAACTTCTGCAGTTATTGTTTGACAATGATAAAGAGCAGAAGGGAGCATTAATATGAGAGAATGCTATATTTGCAACCTTAACCTCATTTTAATGTATTTAAATGTATAAAATATTATATAAGGACTGCAATAGTGGATTAATTTAAATTTCAGTATCAAAAAAGTTATTTCTAACAAAAAGGGACTAAAAATGCAGTAATTTTAAAAATAACATCACTTTATAAATTAAAAACCTAATTTTTTTTTTGGAGTAGAAACTAGCAGCATTTTTACTCTGTTAGTTTAATTGGAATTGAGGTAGTCTAATACCAGTGAAATTGTACCTTTGCCTTTTTTTAAAGTTAAGCTCTTCTTATAGTTTCTGTACTATTATACCTAAAGACCTGGTCTTTAAAAAACAAGTGTAAAATTTTAGCTTCATGGCTACAATTTGTAGCCTACATGTCCCTTATGGGACAAAATGAGAAGGTTTGCCTTTGAAAAAAAAAAAAGTACAAGAAAATAAGACTGTTAACCTCTAAATCAGCTATTATAATTGGGTTTTAGTTGTGGCTTAATGTTAAATTCAAGTCTTTTTTCAGGGCAGCTGAAATGTACTGATGTTCATATGGCTGACTAATGATTTGGTAATTTTGGTTTTGTTTACATTTTGAATGA